ACCTACTGTATTTCATTATGTACGTTTGTTTTTGTCCTGTCATGTAATGTACTGTTTCATCGGCAAAGTTTATAAATTAAAAAATTAAATTAAATTAAATCTATTTCAAAACTGATCCTTTTCGTAGAGAAGGTGAAAAACTTGTATGGTTTGATGAGAATGAGGGATCATTCAAAGTAGCAATTGGTGGTGATGGTGCACCATTTGGGAATTGGGAGGAATCCATGGCATGGCTTGTGAGCTTTCTTAATGTCGGTCCCAGGGTGGCAAGCCCTAATGACAATTTTCTGTTGTTCGGGGCTAATTGCAAGGAAGACCACAAGGTTGTGAAATTGTACTGATCTGTACGTCCAGATCAAACAAGTACAAGAGTTGATGAGAATTGCCAGTGTTGCCATCTTCGATAGCTGTTGCTTTGATAACTTTTACACAAACTTTATTACAGCTAAAACATGTTCATCAAGGTTTTATTCTTCTAAGTACGTTGCAGCTTGAAATGCTCTCTTTCGCAATTCATGTAAGGCAAATCTCATCAACTCTCATCAACATTTGGTCAGGGCTTAATTATTGATTTCAAGTTTTAACTGCAACCTTGCATGTGAGAAACTGTCTGCAACAAACTAGTTCGTTCATATTGTACAACTTAATTTGAATCGCATGCATTTAATATACAATACTTAAAGTTAATAAGTATTTTTTTAACCTGTTAATATTGAAGTTAAAGTATTTATTAATGTTATTATTTATTGATCAATTAAGTTATAATTTATTACTAAGTTTTGAACTATTAATAAAAATTAATGTTCATTTTACTATGAGTGTTGAATTACTGATCTTGCATGCAGGCAATTTTACTTGTCAAAGTGAAAGTCTTGCATTTTAACGATAAACCTTGGAAGATAGTTTGTTTAACTCGTTTTGCATTAGGTCTCACCTTGACAAGTAAAATCATCTGGCATACAACAAAGAGAAATACTAAAGCAGGGTCAATAAAGTTCCATCCCCGTTTTAATTGATACAACGAGTACAACTAGTGAAAGTAAGGTTGGTTGTCTGTTTCTCTAAGTGAAAACTTATTTTGGGGACTAGTCAGTTGATGTCTGGGCCAACCTTGATTCTCCTTTATGAGGCATGATCATGTTTACCAAGAGCTGCACAACAATATTTTCTGTCGTTGTCATATTTTTTGCCTTGTCAAATAGTTTGGAGAAAGGAATTGGGCTCAAAATATTTGTGCAGCTGCGAGTGGTCAAAATTGACTCTGCCTTACAAGGGACCTTGAACTAGTCCCTGATAGTCAAACACAATTTGGTGCTCGCTAGTATTTGAATATCATTCATAAAATTGTTACAGTTAAAATATTTAACTGTTCTCTACACTGGCAAACCCTGTCATTCCAAAAGTTCCCCACTGTTCCAGTCCCAATATTTACACCAAACGCATCTTCAATATTTTTCGTACCAATACTCGTTTGACTTTTTTCGGATGTTCTATAGTAAGCATCGCCTTGAAAATGCTTCTCTACCTTGACATCACCAGCATCCTCCAAAATTGGTGCTGCCACTTTTTTTCTTCGAGGAACATGTAACCTAAAGAAGATTAAGCATCATTAATAATCTCCGACTTTTCCCAAGGAAGAACTCTCTATTTACCAATTGGGCAAAAAAGACAGCAAATTTGGCCACGTACATATAACTTTCTGTCATTAGTTTGGAATATCACGAAACTTCCTCACAGGATAGAACTTGCCATTCCTAGAAATTGTATGTTTTTTGTTTTTCGATTTTGTTACATTTTGGCGGGAAAATGACATGCCAAATTAAACACGAGCCAAGAACATGCTAGTAACTTTTTTGAAAAGATTGTCCTATAAGGGTCTCAAAACTGTAAAAACATTAAAACTACAACAAGGCAGTGCGAAGATATGGTGATTCAAAGTTCGAAAAAATCTATTTTTAGTAACAAAATGGATGATTTTTCAGAAAAAATAGAACTTTGAATCGCCATATCTTCGCACTGCCTTGTTGTATTTTTAATGTTTTTATCGTTTTGAGATCCTTATAAGACAATCTTTTAAAAAAAGTTACTAGCACATTCTTAGCTTGTGTTTAATTTTTTGGCAAAAAATGAGCAAAAAATCTGTTTTGTTTCACAAACTTGGCTGTTGCATCTACCAAGCCTGGAAAATTAGACCCCATTGATGGTTGCCCTCAGGGTTTAGAAGTCGCATCCATTTCTTTTCAGTTGGTACAATTTCTGATTCTTTAGGGGGGCATTCATCTATATTTTCATCCCCCGTCACTTGCTGACAAAGAGCACTCTAAAAGAGCTTCTATTGCACCAGGAGTGTAGACAAGTTCTTGTAGGTTCAAGAAAACACCAGATTGTTCAGTCTTTAGAAACATCACTGGCATGTGTTTTAAGATTTGGTGGAGACAGTAATCGTTCATGACAATATCAATTTCAATTCCAGATACAGTTGTGACAATATTATCCGATATTATTTTCCCAATCTTATTAACTTTGTTGTTGTTAATGATCCATGAATGGCATTAATGGTCCATGAAGGGCAATGTTTGAATTTTCCTAGTCCATGAAGACATCGAATGTGGTCTTCCCATGATAATTTAGAGTTGTTGTAGCAAATGCACTTGTGAAATTCGCCAGGATTACGCGATGTTGTGGATTTGTTTGCTTGTTGCTTAAGGTAGGACATGTTCGCAGTTTACATATATTGCCAAAGATTATAGCAAGTACACTTTTTTTCCAATTTCGCACAAAGTAGACTTCAAATTTGAGTGCCATTGAAACTTGGACTGGTTTAGATAATTTTTACTGAGTGAGGAGTAAGTTTGCCAATCAAAGGTGATGGAAGCTAACGTTTTCACCAGCGAATCATCACTAAGTAACTATATCATCAGTAAATAAATCCTCAATCTCATGGAATGCAATATAAGAAAGGAAGGCTTTTATCATCTGAAATTTGTGCGACAATAGGTAACTTTCGCGAGATGATGTGGGTACATTTAAAGTTTCATGCTATGCTCGTTATAGCAGGCGATGTTGTAGTTTGGTTTCTGGAAACAATAGCTGGCTTTGAAAGCAGAGGGTTGAAGGGTTTTGACACGGAAGAGACTGTTGGGGGCTGAAGAAAACTTGGTCGGCAGACCATTCTAGAACGAGAATGTTGTTCATTGTCAAGATACTTTTATATAAACAATATTTTATTTTATTTAAAAAATTGGCAATTGTGCCAAAAGCCACTAAAGGCTGAACTGGAGCGCTAGTAGTGTTGTATATATATATTTTTTGTGGGAGGTGTGGGAACCACCAAGAAATTAATAGGGAATAGTATTGTGTGTGTGGGCGTTTTAGGGGCTGTACGGACGGGGGGGGGGATTGTGTAGGTCACGTGGTTAGTGGTGAATTGGTGTTTAATTTATGCATGTGGGTGTTTGTTAATGTCTTTCTGGTCCCCACAGACCTCCGCATCCAAAGCCTTGGTCGACCGAAGTGCTGGGATTTTGAAAGTGCACGCCATTTTATGCTTGTGGGGTGACGTCATTAACGTGGGCTGTGATTGGTCCGTGCGTTGACCAATGGGAACGCGGCATGGGGGTTCTGGGATGGTTAATGAGGGGTAACGAGGGATAATGAGGGGTAATAAAGGTGATTTAGTAGGGGGTAATGAGGGATAAAATATATATGGGAAATAGGGTAATGAGGGATAATTGGGGATACTTTTGTTTTTTTACTGTAATAATGGTGGGGGATAATGAGGGTAAAAGAAGGACATTGTTTGGTTTAAGTTAAAGATTTATTAGTAGAGAGTAAGTTATTTTTATTTTACTTTTTTTTTTCACTAAAAATATTTTTTTCTAACATTTTTTCCATGTAAATGAGATATTCTAAAGTATCTTTATGTTGTTTTTTGTCGCATATCGGTGATGAATTCATAGCATTTATGTTGTTTCATATTTTGTAGTTTGATATCATCTTGTGAGCATGTAAGAACTGTTTTTTTCTTCTTTACACTACCGTCTAGTGCGTATAGAATTAATTCTTTTGACGATATAGTGCTTTCTTCATCGGCTTGATTAGCGATTTTGCTTAGCGATTTTGCTTAATCTTTCATGTTGTGTGGGTCTGCCTAAACATTTGTTACCGTCCTTGGTGTGAGGCGTGATATTCACCACGCGTCGTCGTTTAGTTGCGGGTTGTGCGAGTTTATATATTTCTTTAATTTTCTCAATATTTTTTTGAGCAATAGGAGGGGATTTTGGTTTTTTGGTTGGCGGCGGTGCGTGGGGAGATATTGTTGAAAGTGCTGATAAGGGATTTGTTGTTGTCATGAACAGCTCTTCGGGTAAACTGTCGAAGAATGAATCGTTAGGTAGGGTATCAATTGATTCGCAGCTTCATCGACTTGTGTATTGATGTCTTTCAGTTCAGCCATGGGTGGTGGTGGTGGTGCTGTGGTTTTTTTTTGTATGAATTTTAGACAATTTGCTTCAACAGGTAACGCTTTGGTTATGTATGGGACCATGACTGTATTTTGGTTTTTGTGCATCCATCGTATGTATGCTTTGTCAAAAGTATATTGTCCAAATGCTTTGAATTTACAAAAATCCATGAACATAGAATGATATTTGAGTAGATTTGGATCACTATAGTTTGTACCGTGATAATTGAGGAATTTTTCAAAATCTTGATCCAATTGTGTCGAACACATCGTAGTGAATAAACGTTGATAAAATTATTTAGGGTTTATGTTTAGCTTATTTACCACCCTGTAAGTGTTTGTTTGTACTTGATTACCTTATATGGTCAAAGCGATGTACAGTCAAACAATGAGTTTCGTACGATTTAGATTGATGATACGTTATATGTTAATTGAATTTTTTAGATACCATGGAAGTTTGACCTTGTTATTCATAATAGGATTAATTATGACAGGGTTGGCATATTTGTTTTCTTGTGATGGATGTTTTGATATTGTCATGGAGTTGTTTAAATTAATGGCAACGGAACAATTTGATCCTGTACAGCAACCCACACACAATGCAATGGACTCTGAGGATTTAGGTGAGTTTGATAAACGTATTCAGGCGTTAGCATTTCGTTCTCTTTCAACAGAGATTTTATTTACATCGAGAAATCAACATTGGCGTTTGAATCGCTTGTTGGATTGGTATTATAATGATTATTTATACAAAGCAATAAGATATGTTTTGTATCATGAAAGTTATACGTTGGGAATTTTTACAGCTTTTTATAAAATAATATTGGTAGACATTTCAAACAGGTACGCTCTATAGTCGTCGATTGGCTGTATCTATTATCTTCAGTGGTGGTGATAATCGTGAAGTTGAGAATGGGTGAGTATCTTCAAAGTTTGTTTTCAAGACAACATAATCAATTAACTTATGGCGAACAACGTTATGTTAATCAACATTAAAAGGAAATTGTAAAACGTATTACACATGTTATTGATTGTGAGTCGTACACAGTGTCGAAGGAATGTGTTTATCTATGTGAGGTTTCAGTGTATAGGATATCCGATAATGTGACATTTTCATATCAAATCTATATGCCCATGCTACCTTTCAATGTGCATAATAAAAGTGTTCAATATCAAGTGAAAAATATTCATGGTCTACCAGTAGTTGTTCATACAAGACGTACAAATGATTTTTTGTTGTATACTGAGGTGTGGGAATTTTTAAGAAATGAATTTATTGAATCGGCTGATTTGGTAGCATACAAGGGTGGTACAATTGAACGAAATTTACTTCGACGATTGGGCGCCAAGGGAATTAACATTGAAATTTTAGGGTGTGATAAGTATGTCAACTTACTCGCCAAATATGGTATTTTACCTGTACGTTGTCAGTATCATAATCCTGGAGATTATCACTGTTCACGACATGAGGTTGAGGTGTTTGCTCTTTTTTAAGAGAGATTGACACTGACACACCCTCTTGTGACACATTTCGTAATGCATATAACAATTATATAGTGCCCGATTATTACAACGCAAAACAAGCAAGAAATTACAACTATCGGACAATATGTCGGAATTTGTGAGTCCCCCAACTTGTCATAAGCATGTTTAAAGAATTGTTAACAAATTACCCATTTCACCCTATTCTATGGATATTGTATGCAGTGTGTAAAGAGTTGCGTTTAATGAAACCTGAAATGAAAAATCGTGTTATAATTTATGAATATTTTCCTGTTAATAACCTGTGGGTGAGTGGTGTGATGGGTAGCTTGCGTGATATTATAGCCTATGATGATACGGAGGAGGAATGTTGGTATGCCTACGCCACTTTATGCGAACGGGGTAATACTGTAATATATTGGATCCCACAGGAATGGACAAAACGAGTTTATGTCTTGTCTTCAGGACATCTATTTGCTTTAATGCCGTACAAGTTTTGTTGTAGACAAGTTTTGAAACAGACAGATTGTAGACTGGTACGTGCACTGTTAAATCATGTGCACTGTTAAAATGGCGGACAGACGTGCCTTTGGGCTGCTCCTGTCTTTATTACTTTTCTGCTTGGTAAAACATAATGTCGATCTTAAATACATCACAAATGTAAAGCTATTTGATGTTGATTTGGTCAGTGAAGACAAAGTAAATAGCACCGCGAATTGTGGTTTTATAGCTATTTTTCATCGAATCAATACACCAGCCTCAACAAGCCTGTATTTCAAGCGACTTGGTTTTTTAAAGCAACGACTAAATTACTATGCCAACTGTACGGCGTCCTATAATCCTTCCATCATAACGATGAGTCAAAGCGGGGACATACATCCACTAGCTGGTCCAGGCCAATGAGAAAATATTACGCATATTCGGTGCTTGTACATGAATGCCAGAAGTCTAGTCAATAAAACCAACGAATTTCAAGCATTAGCTGTTGACACAGACTGCATATTTGCCGTTGAAACATGGTTGAAGCCGCATATATTAAACAACGAACTACTTCCCGGTTTTGATTTTACGATCTACAGGAGAGACAGATTAAACAGAACTGGTGGTGGAGTTTTATTTGCAGTAAAAAATGCGATAAAAGTCTCCGTCGAAAGGACCTCGAGAGTACTGCTGAAATTCTTGCTTGCGAATTAAGACCTGACTCTCGTCGAAAAATTCTAGCAATCGTATTTTACAGACCACCAGATACAAATAGAGATTATTTAAAGGAACTAAAGAAATCCCTACGTCGTGCGTCGGATTCCCACTTTGACCAGATTTTGTTATGCGGGGACCTTAATTTACCAAACATAGACTGGTCTAACGGCACAGCGATTTCTGGCGATTCTTTACACAATGTCTTTGCTAAGATGCTTAAAGATAACTTCATGTGGCAAATGGTGGACTTTCCCACAAGAGGGAATAATATTCTGGATCTCATATGTACAACTATCCCAGACAAGGTAACTAATATTATTGGCTTTGACGATATTTTGTCTACGGATCATAAATTGATAAGTTTTGATTTGAATCTACGGATATCACGAAAACCTAAAATCAAACGAGTTGTCTACAATTTCAAAAAGGCGGATTGGGACGGGCTTAATGAAACACTCTGCCATATCCCATGGGACATGTGCTTTGTTCCCAACGATATTGATTCATCCTGTTCGAACTGGTGTGATCTTTTTACATCGGCAATTGATGCACACATTCCTAAATGTCTGATTAAAAATTTGCATAATCACCCATGGATCGATACTGAACTTTTGTTTCTCTCCTAAAGAAAACTTTATTCAACAATTGAATACAGAATCTACTTCTTCGACATCTACCCAACTGACTGAAATCCAACTGACTATATCTGAAGTCGTAACAATTTTAAAGGGCTTAGATCCAAACAAAGCGTGTGGTCCGGACAATATTCCCGGTATGTTGTTGGTAAAAACAGCCGATGCTATTGCCCCATCACTCTGTCGGCTTTTTAACCAATCCTTATCAGAAGGCTATGTTCCTTTATCTTGGAAGCGTGCAAACATCACACCTGTGCATAAGAAAGATGATCCAACTCTAGCAATGAATTATAGACCAATTTCATTGCTATGTATCATTTCCAAGGTTTTGGAGCGTTGCATTTTTAATCATTGCTTTCCATTTTTTAAATCTCATATACATAACCTTCAACATGGATTTATCCAAGGTCGATCAACAGTGACCCAGTTATTGACAGTCTATCATGATATGTTGGATACTTTAGCGAGTGGTCAGGAGGTGGACGTTATACACCTGGATTTTTCAAAGGCCTTTGATAAAGTGTCGCACAACCTACTATTGAATAAACTTAACGGTCATGGAATCGGAGGTCCTCTCTTGCAATGGTTTGACAGCTATCTTTCTCACAGGTGTCAACGTGTAATGCTGGAGGGTGAATTCTCAGACTGGTTGCCTGTAACATCCGGAGTACCGCAGGGATCAATCTTAGGGCCTCTATTATTCATTATCTATGCCAACGACATGCCCGACTGTTTATCTGGTGAATCAAAGTTAGCTCTTTTTGCTGACGATTCTAAACTTTTCAGATCTATGTCGTCTAGAAGTTCTTCTGCTACACTTCAGTCTGACCTTAACAGTTTATTTCAATGGAGTGAAGATTGGAAAATGTCTTTTAACATCTCAAAATGTCAGGTACTACACATGTCCAGGAAACGAACACCAAGCCATACCCACACGAATTATCATCTTGGGGGACAAGATCTACAAGTGGCAATTGCCACTAAAGATCTCGGAGTGACTGTTTCCAATAATTTATCGTGGTCTACCCATATCATTCAGATGTGTGCAAAGGCCAACAGAACTCTAGGTCTTATTAAACGTGTCTGCGGCAAGGATATAGTAGATCAAGAGACCCGGAAGCTATTATATATCACTCTGGTAAGGTCGCAACTTGAATACGCTTCAAATCTCTGGTCTCCGTACACAATAAAGGAACGTGCACTAATTGAAAATGTTCAAAGGAGAGCAACTAAATTTATTTTAAATCACTACAGCCGAGATATCTCCTACAAGGACAGATTGTTAAAATTGCACCTGTTGCCACTTGAATTTAGGAGAGAGATCTCCGATCTAATTTTTCTATATAAACATAAATGTGGGATACTTAACGTGGACTTTGGTAGTCTATACAAGCCTGTTTGCCCCCATTATAATACTCGCCGAACAGATAGTTATAACCTTCGTGAATTATTTAACCACAAACAGTGTTACTATCAAAATTCATATTTTCCAAGATCAGTGAAATTATGGAACAATCTTCCACATGAGTTGAAAACTTGTAATCGGAGTGTTGCTCTTTTTAGGAGGCAACTCTCTTCTATTTACAATGAAAAACTCTTAACATACTCTCCGCCTTAATTTAGTACTAGATAATTTTTCATTATTGCTTTTTTATATATATTATAGTGTACATTAAATAGCTTTAGATATTTTAACTGCATGTAAGGGGAAGATATCAATTGGGATTTTATCCTGTTTCTTCTCCTGTTGCTAATATTGCTAATATTGTAATTTTTGTGACAAATGTTAATAAATTCAAATAAATACGTTGTCAGAGTCACACAATACGCGATTATTTATATGTTGATAAACATTTTTTTCATGTGGGATGTGGTCCTTGTCACAAAGATGAATCAACAGTAATAGCAGATTTACCGCTTTATTTGGGTTTGCTACAACCAGTTAAATGTTTGGAAGAAGATGATGTTGTAACAGACATTGATCTAATGCTACGTGTATTCCCTTACGAAAATTTCCTATAGGAATTCCTATAGGAATTGAAAATTCCTGTAGGAATTCCTATAGGAATTGAAAATTCCTATAGGAATTCCTATAGGAATTGAAAATGGTCAAAAAAATTCCTATAGGAATTGAAATTTCCTATAGGAATTCCTATAGGCATTGAAAATTCCTATAGGAATTCCTATAGGAATTAAAATTTCCTATAGGAATTCCTATAAGCATTGAAAATTCCTATAGGAATTCCTATAGGAATTGAAATTTCCTATAGGAATTCCTATTGGCATTGAAAATTCCTATAGGAATTCCTATAGGAATTGAAAATGGTGAAAAAATTCCTATAGGAAAAAATATTCCTGTAGGAATTCCTATAGGATTGGAAAGTGGCTATAGGAATTCCTATAGGAAATGAAAATTCCTATAGGATTTGAAAATGGTGAAAAAAAATCCTATAGGAAATAAAAATTCCTATAGGAATTCTTATAGGATTGGAAAATGGTGGGAAAAATTCATAGCCTATACCACTATGGCCTGATACATGCATGGGTATAAGAACTTTACTTATATAAAAAATTATACAGATAAATATAATTTACGAAATAACTCCTTCCTACAGGAATTTCTATTTCTTATAGGAATTTTTTCACCATTATCATATCCTATAAGAATTCTTATAGGAATTTTAATTTCTTATACAACTACACTATTCCTATATCGTATTTTACTCATAGACATTTATTAAAGCTAGATTACAGTCCATTCTGCGCATGTGCGGGCTTTGTTTACATTTTTTGTTTTGGTTTGGATCCACTTCAATTGTATAATATGAAGTATAGCGGCTATGCACGAAATAAATGGAGTCCGAGTCAGGAGTGGAGTTGTTAATTTTTTTAAAGTTGTCTTCTGAAAGACAAGCAATTAAATATTTTGAAAGATCATCAATGGAAGATATATTGTTGATCAATTCGGCATTTGTTTTTTGTGTGCCTCGTTGATGAAACATTCAGAAGAGACCGACACAGCCGAGCCAAAGGTGCGAGGCCGCACTCATGACTCATTGTGTTGATTATATTAATGTTCGGCATTGTAAAATAAACTTTGGAAGTGTCAAAGTAATCATGAGTCTTTCCTTGGGGTATTTGTTCGTCAAAACACATTGCCAGAGTCATTGTTGCTGTCATGGCAGAAGCACTCGGAGAAAGCTTTTCGCTGGAAGAATTGGAAACGATATGTTCATGTCGCAGCTTGCGCCAGCTTCTGTCTTCGATAGAGAGGGCGAAATTCCTGTCCCTGCAAAAGTATGGGTATTTTTTGCTCAAGCGCGTGCCACGAAGAGGACTTTGAATCATGTATGAACAATAGAAGGACAGATGGTGAGTTTGTATTATTGCTATTAGTTTATATGTACTGTTCGTTATAAACGTGCTTCACATGTAATCTTATTGTATTGGTTCATTAGTTTATATATGTTTCGTTAGTTTATACGCAAAAAAATGGCCTGAGCAATGGTTCATTTGAGAATATGTAATGTTGTTCACTGTGATAGTTCACTCAAAGGATAATGATTATCTAACAATAGCTGGGTAAACTTTGTTTACATATTTTGATACTTTGCCTGCCAAGAGTATATGCAGACATACATTTCTGAAAGCTTTAACCACTGGCTTTAACACACATGATTTGTTATATTAAATACCCCACATAATTATGCATATCCTTGCCGGGTAAAACATCAAATTATGTAAAAAAAAGTTTGCCTGTCTATATACAAGTCTACATAGGTGTGAAATGCAGTAATTTGGTGGTAAGAAATATCTGTGTTTCACTGCGCTTGAATTTTTGCATTTATTAATGATAAATATATTCATTTCAGACTCTTGTGGTAGCATTGGATTTAAATGCCCTTTGAAGAGCATTTGCTCTAGAGCTTATACAGCATCAGCCAGCAGCATTTGTCAATTTGGTAAATGGTGAATTGCCAGGTGAACCGCTTCAACCAGACCCAGCTATGAAAACCCAGAAAATGCCTCAGAGTATTGCAAATGTGGATGGTGTGTTGCAATGCCAACACAATTGGAAAATAGCCCTCTCTTCCCACAGTTAGTACTTGATGGAAATGTTCGATCTGGACCTGGCCATGCATTAGAGTGAAGACTTTTTAGTGTTAAATAATATTAGAAACAATGAAAATTTTGCCATGCTGCTCGCCAGACAATACGTACTCTGGCAACAACGAATGTTAGGAATTCGGAACAGGAGAGCGATTCCAAGCTGTTGTGTTACAGCAATACGGAGACGATATCCTTCTCCAAATGGGATATACACTGAGTATCAACCTGCTAGATTGTAAATATTTGTTGCACATGTTTTTATTATGTTATTGATCATTGAGGAAACTTTATTATTCATTAATCAATTTTACTGCAATTATCTCCCCATGACAGGGAGGATCCTTTTAAATATTTTGACAGAACATGGGTAATTCACACCTGTTAAGGCCCGTTCACACAAGCGATTTTAAACTTTGATTTTCTCCTTTTGGCATATGTGTTTTAGCAAAATTACAGGAAACATTACTTTGCATGGCTTGATTATTCACTCTAACACATACACCAAAAGTAGACAATTGCAGTTCAAAATTGCTTCAAACTTATTTTAAGCTTTCTCTGTCTACTAACCACAGCAAATTTTGCTGACAAATGAAAGACTTTATCATGTCAATGGGTTAAATCTTTTATGAACAGTAATATTTCATTTTATAAAAGACAAGTTATCAAATGCATTGGATGTTCAAGCACAACATTTGGTATTGACATTGATTTTTTTTATTCTTTAAAATTACTCCTTGCTCCTTACTTCAGTCCTGAAAAGTGTATTGCTGTGCACCGAAGATCAATGAATCCAATATGGACAGTCTGACTCACTATTTGGGTCCGGGAGTTTGTAATCAGAGTTCCTTCTCCTAGGTGGACTGCCTTTCAGCGATTACAAGCTCCACCTAACCAGAGCACTTTGTTTTAAGTGCCAGACACTTGTCTACAGTGATCAGTTGAATCTAGACTGATGGGTTTCAACAAGTTCTTTGACTGAAGGAGGAGGGACAGGGGTTATGTTAGGAGCAATTTGCCTTCGGTCATCACTTGCAACACCAATCCCCAAACCTAAAGAAGTAAAGAAGACTTATAATTAGTTTTATTCCTGTTTAAATGCACATTAGTGCCTGCTGACCAATGTGTTTTAAAAACACTTAAATGGCTTTTTTCAAGCCACATTTTGATTTTGTTACCGGTAATGTTCATGCAAATCAAAATTTGGCTTTCCAAAAAGCCATTTAAGTGCTCTTAAAACAGATCAATCAGCAGGTGCTACTGTGCCCTTGACATGCCTACAGAATGATCAAAATATTTATGTTTGAAAAGGTGATATAAAGAATATGGAATTTCATAATGAAAGCTAAAATATGTCACTTTTTTCTCACTAGGATTCAGGAAAGCATAAAATGTTATGTAACATATCTTCATTATAAGTTGTAGGATGTATTTGTAGTGTTTAGGAGAATCTTTAAGAATCTTTATGTGGCTCCATTGCTGTTTCCCCTTGCTGAACATATACTGGCAATGGCTCATGTCTGCATTGTATTGTTTCATCAGCGCTATAAGTGCACAATAATGTTTTGTAATGAGGAAATATAACAGCATTAACATAACTGAAATATCCAGGGATATGTGTTATGTACTTACCACAATTAAATCCGTCTTGATGTTTCGTATCAGGCTCGATCAGCAGAGTATTCGCAAACGCTCGTCACTTTTGATTCCAGGTTCAGTTTTGAAATGATTTCACCGACCAATAGCATCATTAAAGTACATTTTCGTTAAATACCTTTTCGCGAAATGTTCTTTTTGATTTCCTGGTTGGTTTTGGCGACCAGCATTAGAAGGATTTGTCTTTGAAGTGGACAGCTCTATTATAGAACTCTTGCGAGTCGGCCATTTTGAGCGCGCATATCCGAATAAGGACTGGGGAGCACACAAAATCAAAACAAGTGTGCTCACATTTGTTTACATTTTTTACACATGCGCAGAAGGGACTGTAATCTAGCTTTAATAGAGAATTTAATACTGGGACTATTTATTTTCTAAGATTAAATGAATAATTACCGCAATGTGCGCGACTGACAGACTGGTGTCTAGTTTTCTTGCCACGCGCGCAAAGCATCAAGGGATAGATCATCACACCTCCGATATTTTTCAAGTCAGTGTTTGTCAATGGTTTATGTGCAAAATAGAACTATTTTTGATGGGATTCAACTGGATTTTCACTAGTAATACATCAGGGATGTTTGCATAATGTTCAGGTAAGAATAAGTTTATATTTTATTTATAATAAAGCAAATTATAGAGGAAATACCTCCAATCTTCATTTGTGAAATTCGAGCATGTGGTTCGATAAAATTTGAATTTGCCGCGACAATATAAACGGAATTAGAATGCTGATATAAATATATTTATAGCATTTATACTTCAACAAATGCTACTATAAAAGTCTTATATTTGAATCAGACTTATCCATGTTTATTAATATATTTGTATATCCCAAGTGCCAACTGTATATGCCAGATTAATTGTAAATTGTCAGGCATATTTAATGCATGCCTATAGAAAATTTAACTACTTGCTCAAATCAGAAGCAGTATTTATTCATATGTTTTGTTTAAATTAAACAATTTTCATTTTGAGAGGTCTTGCACCAGTCAATGTATTAAAATCTGTTAGCCTTTAGACATGCTTTAGTGTAATGCCAGGAAAATTATCCATGTTTTTCTATTAATTAAACCACAGTTTATAAACATACAGTAACTATGTGATGGTATTCGAATTAACCAGACTCTCTGCTAGCTTACATTTCATGCTAACTTGTTAAGATGAATGTGCTCAACTTTCAGTACTTTTTTATTTTACCTTGTCTAACACCAGATCATTTTACTTGAAAGAGAGTGGACAAATTTGATAGGTTACCTTGCTGTCTCCCTGTGTTTTGTGTAAACTCATTAAGACCCAATTCACAAATTCACACTAATGCGCTCTATTTCAAAGCTCAATATTTTGCCCTGTTAATACCAGACAATTTTGCATTATTTGGCGTTAGCACATTTAGATGCAATTCACCCTAACACTCAATCCCCACTTTCCGTACTTTGATATTTATCAGATGATTTTACTCATCAAAATGAATGCTGGTCATTGAAAGGTTAATAATTAACTGCAAAAGCTGCTGTGTGGCATATTTAGAAGCAATGTGCCCTACTTTTAGTACTTTGTTATTTTACTGTGTTTATTCTATTAAAGTGCTAGACTCTCCACTTAGAGTAAAATAATAAATTGGGTGCATTTGGGCATATTTAATGGGTTAACAAAACACATTGGAATGGTAGACATAAAATAAATGTATTTGTCTTTTTACAGCTATCAACAAAGTATGGATGTAAGGCCTCAGAGGTTCGTCAACATATGAGGACAAATATAAACAACATGGGAAAGTGTTGCAAAGTACAGAAAAGCAAACAAGAACTTATTTGAGGACTATGTTTTGAGGCCAGTTTTAAACTTAACTTTAAATGTCAATTATGGTTATTACCAATGGTTTAGCCCATTAAGCGCCAGCGCCCTGACGAGTAAAATCGTCTGGCGTTAGACAGAGTAAACTATAGTAAAATAATAAAGTAGGGCGCATCAGGGCGCAATGTGATTCAATGGGTTAACTAGAGTTACTAGACACATATATAGGAATATAGGCTAGTTAACCCATTCGGAGCCAGCATTTCCCCTTGACATTCAAGTACAATTGTCTGGAGTTAGACAGACTGAAATAGTCTGGCATTAGACAAAGTAAAATAGTTAGACAGAGTAAAATAATAAAGTAGGACGCATCATATGGCATTACATTGAGGTAGAACGATTAATTTGTCACAATAGGTGAAAACTATAATTGATTTGTAATGTTTAGTATAACCAATTTCTCATATTAATTTTTATATTTGCAATATTAATATTTATATCCATTTTTTGCATTAAAAAATTAAGAGTGATGAACAACATTGTCTGTCATTTACTATTATTTCATCTAGATTCTAGAATTTCTGCAGGAATACCAAAAATCTTATAGGAAATTAGAATAAATTATTTTCTTATAGGAAATTCCTATAATAATTTGGGACTAGACTTGAGAATTCTTATAGGAATTCTTCCTATTAAATTCTTATATAGAATTCCTGTAGAAAAAATTCCTATAATTTTTCCTATAGGAAAAATTCCTATAAGAATTTGGGACAAAATTCCTATAGGAATTTTTCCTATAGGAATTCCTATAGGAAAAATTCCTATAGGAAAAATTCCTATAGGAAAAATTCCTATAG